GAGCACCTTCCAGCCACCCAGCGCGGGCTTTCCGTATGCCGGGGGTGTCCTGCAGCCGTCGCCTCAGCAACTTTACGGCGGCTAACTGGCCAGCCAGGGCAGCGACGATGACTGGGACGACGAGTGGGACGACAGCTCCACGGTGGCCGACGAGCCTGGCGTGCTGTGCAGCGGCACCTACCCGGACCTCAACGGCTTGTCGTCCGCGGGTGGCGGCGCTGCTAGCCGCTACCCCTTGTCTACCGGCTCTGACTTGTCGCTGGGCTCCCGTGGGGGATCAGCTCCTCCGCAGCACCACCCTTCAGGGGCCAAGAGCTCGGCCACGGTGAGCCGCAACCTCAACCGCTTCTCCACTTTTGTCAAGTCAGGTGGGGAGGCCTTCGTGTTGGGCGATGCTTCGGGCTTCTTGAAGCATGGGGACAAGCTATGCGTGGTGCTAGGGCCCTACAGCCCCGAGTGGCAGGAGAACCCCTACCCCTTCCAGTGCACCATCGACGACCCCACCAAGCAGACTAAGTTCAAGGGTATGAAGAGCTACATCTCCTACAAGCTGGTCCCCACGCACACACAGGTCCCGGTGCACAGGCGCTACAAGCACTTCGACTGGTTGTATGCATGCCTGGCTGAGAAGTTCCTTGTCATCTCTGTCCCCCATCTGCCCGAGAAGCAGGCTACTGGCCGCTTCGAAGAGGACTTTATCTCCAAGTGCAGGGAAGGCCTGATCTGGTGGATGAACCACATGGCCAGCCACCCAGTGCTGGCACAGTGTGATGTCTTCCAGCACTTCCTGACCTGCCCCATTAGCACAGATGAGAAGGCCTGGAAACAGGGCAAGAGGAAGGCCGAGAAGGACGAGATGGTGGGCGCTAACTTCTTTTTGACCCTGAGCACACTGCCCGCAGCAGCTCTTGACCTGCAGGAGGTAGAGAGCAAGATAGATGGTTTCAAGTGCTTCACCAAGAAGATGGATGACAGCACGCTGCAGCTCAACCGCACTGCCAACGAGTTCAGGCGCAAGCAGGTGACGGGCTTCAAAAAGGAGTATCAGAAGGTGGGCCAGTCTTTCCGTGGGCTCAGCCAGGCCTTTGAGCTGGACCAGCAGGCTTTCTCAGCAGGCCTGAATCAGGCCATTTCCTTCACCGGAGATGCCTATGACGCCATCGGCGAGCTCTTTGCCGAGCAGCCCAGGCAGGACCTGGACCCAGTAATGGACCTGTTAGCGCTGTATCAAGGGCACCTGGCCAACTTCCCGGATATCATCCATGTCCAGAAAGGAGCTCTTACCAAAGTAAAGGAGAATAGGCGACACGTGGAAGAAGGGAAGATGGAGGTCCAAAAGGCTGATGGCATTCAGGATCGCTGTAACACTATTTCTTTTGCCACTTTGGCTGAAATTCACCACTTCCATCAAATTCGAGTAAGAGACTTTAAATCACAGATGCAGCATTTCTTACAACAACAAATAATATTTTTCCAAAAAGTGACCCAGAAGTTGGAAGAAGCTCTTCACAAATATGATAGTGTTTAATGACTGGACATTGGATTGTGAACTTTTTTCAGTTCAAGAATAATTTCTACAGCAGAATAAAAACTGCTGTCAAAGAGCTATTGCCAACTATCAGTGGTGGTACAAGGATGGTTTTGTGTTCAACTGAAAGCCAGCTGAATATATAATTATGTAGGAGAGAAACCATTAATATGGCTATATCATAGAAACAGTACCACACATTGTAACTAAATTATACTATGTATGCCTACACTACCATTGTAACTTTTGGAATAATGATTATACTATTTGCCTTATTGCTTTTTGAAGTATGGGTATTCTAGTGCATACTTTGTAGACCTCAAAACCCATGAAGGGTCTCAAAGAAGCTGGCTGGATAAAGCCTGCTGTGGATGCCTTTTCACTCTCAGATTGGGATTACCTAAATTCAACCTGTTCTCTGTTTACAAATTCCAACTAGAGCAGCTATTTGACTTTGTGCCTTTAGACTCTTGGTTTTTCATTTTGCGTCCCACCCCCCAAGGAAGCCACAACTTTTCTGATTGAAAGAGTAAAAAGCCAGTGTACATGACGATAAACTGGTTATAACCTCATATTGGCAGGGGTGGGGGTGGAGTTAGAGGATCAGCTGTCATCAATCTGCACAGCAAGTATTATCTCCTGAAACATGCTGGTGAACGCAGTGGAGTGAGACTCGATACTCACCTCTGGATACGAAGTCTATTAGGGAAGAGATGGTGCACTATATTCTCTTAGATGCTACGGTAGCATAGCCTCTTCACGCAAGTGTCCTGAAAACTGGGCGTGAGGATTTTAGCAAACACGTCTTATAATATGGAGAAAGAGGAGTCTGATCAATCAGGGGAGACAAGTACAGAATCACTGACAA